CCCGATGCTTCGCTCTCGTAAATCATGCTTTCCTGGTTCATTTTTATTGAGGATGTAAATGCAGTGAATATATGCGCCGATAACTGGAAGGAGGTAGTCATTACTAAAAGTTGTTTTGTTATCTATACAAGTTAATATATTGATATAAACGGAATATCTGATTCTTTTATGTTAATTATTAATTAGTAGAGTGTGCAATTTATGCGTGTATAGTACGTTAGAATTTATAAAACTCATTGACTACTGCCATATATTGCATAATAGTTTAAAAATGTATTTATTTTACTTTTCATTTCTCACACTTGAGATAGAAACAATAGTACACCTTAAACTTGCAATTCAATAAAATTTTAAGATTTTAATTTGAAACTATAACAGTGTGATCGTACACACAGACAATATAAAAGCATATAAAATAAAAAGTAAGGAATTTAAATTATCACAAAAGCTAGAGATAACCACCCTACTTCATTAGTACTCACCAACCCATCAAAATGAAATCATTAATATTAAACATTTCACCCTCAAAACTCCAGTAAAACATTCTGAATATTATTACTACAAAACAAAATCATTAATATTAATCATTTCACCCTCAAAACTTCAGTAAAACATTCTGAATATTATTATTACAAAATAAAATGATTAATACTTAGCATTTCACCCTCAAAACTTCAGTAAAACATTCTAAATATTATTACTACAAAATAAAATTATTAATACTAAACATCTGAATATTATTATTACAAAACAAAGTCATTAATACTAAGCATTTAATCCTAAAACTTTAGTAAAACATTCTAAATATTATTACTACAAAATAAAATGATTAATACTAAGCATTTCACCCTCAAAGCTTCAGTAAAACGTTCTAAATATTATTACTACAAAGCAAACTCATTATTATAAATCATTCCACCCTCAAAACTTCAATAAAACATTGAGAATATTATTATTACACATTCCCTCTTCCCCGTTTCTCTCACAGTACCCATTGTTCTGCTCAACCGGTACTCCTGTCAAACCTGTATCATACACTCATCCTTCCCCCGTACAAAATTTCAGTCCACCGAAGACCTTACCGTCCAACGAATACGGTCCACCCGGCAGGCCTCTATTATTGTCCCAACGACCGAAACATAGTACGCTGCGTTTTCGGCTGTATGTTTCTCTTCTCCCTCGTTACCGCTGTTACAACAATCAGAGGAGTAAAAACGTAATCGCCCGGTTAATTCAGAATGCGTAATTTGACGTCAAGACACACGGTGACGTCAATAAGCGTGTCGGCTCTGACGCACCGACGGTAAATTAGTATTTGTTTTCAAAGTTACTCACCGGCACCAGGTCATACGTTTCGATACACGGTACCCACTCGGAGAACGGTCCGATTGTATATTTTGATCGGGGCGTCGATCGCTGCCCACCCGCGGCCGGTTCATAAAAGAGTCTGAATCACCGGAGCATTTTTAGAGATCATCGGAAAATATTGATGTCTTCGAGGATAATCGGCAATCGGCGGGCGCCACTGGTAATGTTTCCCTGCCCCGTCACGTTCGCCAATGGGAATCGACTCGATCGATAAGGCGGATCAGTAGCAGGCTATGCGGGTGCAGTGAGTCTCAACTGTTACAACCACGGATCGTTAATTTTCTCGGGTTTCCAACCCTTATGCTGCCTCCCTTAACACTTTGACTGCCACGTCAACCGAATTCGGGTGACATTATTTTTTAGAGAAACTTGGACATTGATTCTTCTGATGACGTACCGAACAGACCGAATTTTGTTGGATACGTAAAATATAAGAAAGATAGTGGAGCAATTATTAAGAATTTTAATTTCTCAGTTTCTGGTCAGTGAAAAGACTGTTTCGAGTACGTGTTTTGATGAGTGTTTACGTGGCAGACAAAGGGTTAACACTGAACCTACCGGACGAGTCAAAATGAGGCGTTCATGGTTTCTTCTTTTTGCAATTATTAACCCTTTGCACTCGAGAGGTGACTCTCAGTCACCACTTGATTTCCTACAGTGCAGCTATAAAGTTTGATATTTAATATTATACTTTATACAATGCATCAATCTGAGAAATATTGACGTAAAATAGCTTTGTCCGTCGATTCACGTGAATTTCTCATCGAGTTGGTTTTACAAAATATCGTCTTCATCTCATCGGAAAATGTTGAAATATTTCTAGTGAAAAACTTCGGAGTGCGAAGGGTTAACTCTTTGCACTCGGAAGTTTTTCATTAGAAATATTCGACACTTTCCTATGAGACGTAGACGACATTACTTGAAACGAACTAATGGGAAAACATAGGTAAATTAAGAAACAAAGTTATTTTATATAAATATTTCATATATCTATGCATTATCCGAAACTTAATATTATATATAACACTTTGTAATTTTGTTATATTGAATCAAATGATGACTGAGAGTCGGAAGTTTTTCATTAGAAATATTTTAACCCTTAGCACTCCAGGTTGTTTTGTAATCCATCAGCAACTGCAACTAATTTTTATAGTATTCCTAGCGAAAATGAGAAATGCCATAACATTTCTTCGATCTTTTATTTTCCTTAGTACAAAATTTTGATGTGTGGAGAATCTAATAATTTTAGGGTAGTTTCTTTGACACTAGAACTACCGAATGAGTCAAAATGACTGATTCCCAGATTCTTCTTCTGCAACTATTGAGAAGGAACAGATGCTTCTTAGGAATGAGTAATGAAATTGATTTAAAAATACGCAAACTAAATTATAAATCGATTGAAATCTCAACAGAGACAATATTGGAGTTTTTATAGGAAAATTAAAAAATCTGATCGAATTACTGGGTAGTTCTAGTATTAAGATTCATTGAAATATTTAATATTATAACTGCTGCAATATTGAAGCCTACAGAGTTCAAAGGGTTAACACTAGAACTACCAAAATGGGTCAGAATCACCCATTCCTTGATTTTTTCTTTTGATTACTTAAGAGGTACGAATATTTCTTTGAGAAATTACTAAGGAAGCTGATTAACCCTTTGCGGACGAAGATTCTTTGGAATATGCGAAATCTTCGGCAGGTGAAGCTAAATTATACATCAATTACTTAACTGATAGGAAAAATGGAAACTACGTGCTGATCTCTTACTGTTCAACTAATTAGATCATTTTTCCACGACTTAGTCTTCCAAATCTGAACATTTGAGATGCCAACATCCGTCCGCAAAGGGTTAACTTTGTTAAGTAACCCTTTGTGAACCCTCGAGTGCGAAGGGTTAATATTCTCATATTCCTCATTAAGTTTTGAGAAACACTGTCAGACGAACTCACGCAGAAGCTCGTTCGCGGCAAGAAGTAAATCGCGAGTGTAACAATATACAAACACGCGTGACGCTATTACTTAGATGGTTTAACAGTTGGGCGGACTTATGTTTCTCCGCACTGCTTTCCGGGTTCTTATTACTCAGAGCAACACTAGCTGGTGACGCACCTTTTCCGCGGGAAATGAAATATTTCATAAACAAGAATTTATTATAAATAACCCCTTGCCTTGCAATGTCGTGTCAGACACGTAAAATTAAGTAATCAGTTAACTTGAACTTTTATACGTTCACGTCATTGTAGCTTGAAAGTTACAAAATATACTCGTTCGATGAAATTATTGAAACTATTCAATACGTTGTTAACTCGTATTCATACGTGGATACTCATTAACTTCGCACTGCATAGATTTTATTATAATCGCGAACAAAAAGTCTGCCCATAGAGGGTTAAGTCGCGAAACGAGCAATCTATCGCTAAGGTTCGAGAATAACGCATTACTAACATTCTAACCGCGTCATGTCGCATTTTGTTTTACAATCGCACCTGCATCTGCACCCGCATCCGCGCCTGCATGAGAACAGATCAACCTGTTAATCCAGAAGGATTACCGTCCACAGCCGGCGCGTTGAACGGATATCAGCAGAGCAAAGACATTCAGATCGTGAGCAGACCGCCCTGCGACGAAGACATATGCTACACCCCGGAATGCGTGCACACAGGTTAGTGAAATAAATCTGGTTCACTGTCGCGTCCCGACACGTCCCGAGCTTCTGTTAATCGCGACGCATGTTGGTCACTGTTCAGCGTCCAGGATATTGAAGAACATGAATCCGGAAGTGGAGCCGTGCGACGACTTCTACGATTTCGCTTGCGGCGGGTTCCTCGAGACCACCAGCATACCGGACGACAAGACCAGCGTGAACACGTTCACCGAGATCAGCGACGAACTGCAAAATCAATTGAGGACCAGTATTGAAGAGAAGAGCGCGGCCGACGAGCCGAAACCGTTCAGGCTCGCGAAGAATTTGTACAAGGCTTGTATGAATAAAAGTAAGCATCGGTGGTTTCAGATGAATTGGTGTTTTGGACGGTTGTGAGTTCTCAGGTTGATGTTAATGGTTATAGTGTTGATCGTAATTTTAGTATTGATGATTCTGGTATTGATATGAATATGTTAAGTTATTAATTAACTGAACAGTCGATAACTGTTTTGATGAAGCTTTGACTGTAGGACGAACTCCTGAAACTTGAAAATATTCTATTTAAAGAAATTGATAATATCTATATTAATAATATCTATATCTATATAGCTATATATCTATATAACTATATATCTATATATCTATATATCTATATCTATCTATATCTATATTTATATATATCTATATATATCTATATATGTCATCTGTATCTATATCTATATCATCTATACATCTATATATCTATATAGCTATATATCTATACATCTATATATCTATATAACTATATATCTATATATTTACATCTACATATCTATATCTATATCTATATTTATATATATCTATATCTAATCTATATCAATCAATATCAATCTATATCAATCTATATATGTAATTGGTAAACTAAGATTGTTCATTCAATTTTAGTCATATCATAATGAAACAATATTTCCTCATTCGTTTCAGCACTAATCGAGAAGCAAGGTTTGGACCCCTTGCTAAACATTCTAAAAAAACTTGGTGGCTGGCCGGTGTTGGAAGGCGACAACTGGAACGAAAGCGAATTTAATTGGAAGGAATCGGTGTACAAGTTTCGCAAGATGGGTTATTCCGTCGATTACTTCATCGATTTCAGCGTCAGCGTCGATCTGAAAAATAGCACAAAAAGAATAATCGATGTACGTGAGAATGCAAAGGGAAAAAACGATATACAAAAGTCATCTACTCGAAACGAGTTTAATCAAATTTACGCGACCTCTCCACTGTCGTTTTACATGTTTACTGTAACAGTGTACACAAATGCAATTTCATTGGGGAATCGCGAATCCGTTCATAAACTGAGGTGTAAATTAATACAGTACACACAATTTCTTACATTCTAAGAGCCATGACACCTAGCGATATCACGCATCGCTGAAGTGACTATTCATGTACCAGGAGGGAAAGTGGATAATTCAATATTTACAAAATCATTTGACGCATTGGTAACGTTACAGTCTGCATTCCGTGGAGAGACTCGTGCATGTTACTATAGAAACTACCATATCAAGATTGGATAATACTAAAGAAACATAATTTTACAGCTGGATCAAGCATCTCTTGGACTGTCCCGGGAATATTTGTCAAAAGGATTCGAAGACAAAATCGTGCAGGCATACTACAGTTATATGGTGGACATTGCAGCAATTCTAGGGGGTGGTGATAAAGATACACTGAAGACAGAATTGAAGGAATCTCTGGAGTTCGAGATGAAACTTGCCAATGTACGTCTCAAGTGGAATGGCTTTTATTTGAAATTTCAAAAATGCATCCCACTGTCTCATTATGGAATCTGTAAAACATCTAATGCTATAATGTATAATAATTGCAATTTAAAATCATATGAATCTAAGAATAATTTACAAATGATATTTCACATTCAAGTCTATTGTATAAGTCTTATTAACACGTTGAATGCCAACCAAATCGAATTACTATAGTTCATTCAATTAAACGTTGATCGCGAATATTTCTATATTATAAATAATACTACCCATTGCGGTGACATTCAGTTTGATGAACGTGCAATGATAAGCCAATTCAGTCAAATGATATAATATTACATTCTTCCCATTTTGTGTATTTTTCTCTTTGAAATCATGCTGCGTTCAACGTGTTCAATTTATAATAGAAAATTTCTAGTTTATGGAAATAGTCTATCTATTAATTCTTTAAAAATGTCAATGTGTAGATCTCCCTGCCGAACGAGAAACGTCGTAACGCCACCCTCCTCTACAACCCCATGACAGTGCGGGAATTGTCCAAGTCTTATCGCAGCATTCCATGGAAGGAGTACTTCAACACCCTGTTAGCGCCAAATCTCGAAGTGGACGACGACGAAGTCGTAATTGTTTGCGTTCCAAGTTACATCTCGAGCTTGGAGAAGCTATTGGAGTCCACGCCGAAAAGGGTCCAAGCGAATTATGTAATGTGGAGGGCTGCTGCTTCATCCGTGAGCTACCTAACCGAGGACATCCGGAAAAGGCAGTTGCAATACTCCACGGCGTTAAGTGGAAGAACGGAAAGGGAAGCCAGGTGGAAAGAATGTATCGACACCGTTTCCGGCAGCTTAGCCATCAGCGTCGGCGCCCTTTACGTTAGGAAGTACTTCAAAGAGGATGCGAAGAAGAACGCTGTGGAGATGGTGGCTGACATCAGAGCGGAATTCACGGAGATATTGAAGAGGGTACGGTAGACTTTCACAAAATTGTGTTCTGTAACGCAGTGAATCTCGCATGACGTAATGATGCAAATGATTGTCGTGGAGTATGCTTAAAATGTAGATTTCATTTTAATTTATTATAGATTCATTACGAATTGACTAGGAAAATCGATTTAATTTTTAATCCACTACAAACTTACTATAAAAGAGTATTTTCTTTTTGATTATAAATTCAAATGACAATTTTTAGGTCGAGTGGATGGACGATGAAACTAGGAAGAGCGCGTTGGATAAAGCGTCATCCATGTCTAGTCACATCGCTTACCCGGATGAACTGCTCGACGACAAGAAGCTCGAAGGCTTCTATGAGAAACTTGAACTGACAACCGATAATTACTTGGAGGGTATTCTGAATTTAACTCTTTTCGGGGTGGAGTATTCATTCGGAAAACTAAGGAAGCCTGTAAACAAGTCTGACTGGATAACTCACGGGAGACCGGCAATTGTGAACGCATTCTATTCGTCCATTGAAAACAGTATTCGTGAGTGTTATATATTTCTTAGTAGAGGTTCTGCTATAAATGCCCATCGAAAATGATGACGCAACCTATTGTTCATAGAATTTCCCGCTGGCATACTGCAAGGCGCTTTCTTCAACAATGATCGGCCAAGGTATATGAATTACGGGGCTATTGGTTTCGTAATTGGCCATGAAATAACTCATGGGTTTGACGATCAAGGCAGACAATTCGATAAAGCGGGAAATCTCGTCGACTGGTGGGCGCCGCAGACAAAAGAAAAATATCTCCGGAAGGCGGAGTGTATTATTCACCAATACGGGAATTATACTGTTGAAGACGTTGGTTTGAACGTAAGAAATATCATTTCTTATTCTCTTATCATTTACACAAATTCATACAATTTTTTGCGAAGGTTTCCTCGTCAACACGTTGAGTGCCACACGATTCTACCGAGAAAAATGTAGAAAATGAAAATAATGTAATATCAATTTATGTAATTGAATTAAGTTATTATTATTGCAAGTTCATCTCGTTGAATGTTACTGCATTAGGTGATGTTACTTATAATATAGAAAAGTTTTCAAATAATCATCGTTTAATTGAATGAATTGTAGTAATAAATTAATGAATTATAGTAATTCGATTTAGCTGAGGTCACCGGTGACCCCCATGGCATCCAACGTGTTAATATTTCTTTGATAAACATCGTGTAGAATACTTGAATAGATTTCATTTTTAACATTGCTCGAGCATTTTATCGCGTGTTATGCAAATAATTATGCAAAAAAGAATCGAGCCGAGTCATGACGCGGACTGGTTATGAAAGACATAAGAACAGTACAGCATGGTAGTATTAAGTCGTGTAGTAGTAAGCGGTGGAATAAACGCAAAAGTACTTTGCTGTATAGCAGAATTAAAAGTACGAGAATTATTGTTAGAATTATTTTACTCTTTGGAAATTGTTGCATCTCATAAAAATAATTGGACTATAGAAAAGTATTCTACCTTAGCTTATTTCCATCATGAGCCCTTTTCTGTATTGATTTAAAGATTTAAAGATTAACCCCTTGCCCTATGATTTCCTCCTGAACTGTGATAGATCTAACTACTTTGTTATTGATAATTTATTGAAAATAAAATTCGAGTCTTATTCTATGTCAACGTGTGCTTTAAGGAATAATATGCTTGTTAAATTCTAATTGACATCTTCACTAGTCTGACACAGTATTGTAGTTCAAGGGGTTAACAAGTAATTAACAAATTATTTCAAAACGATTCGTTTCTGTTTGCAGCTAAATGGTATAAATACTCAAGGAGAAAACATTGCTGACAACGGTGGCATAAAAGAGGCGTATTTAGCGTATAAGAAGTGGGTCAACCGAAATTATAAAGAGTCACGATTACCAGGTCTTCCTTATACACCGGAACAATTGTTCTGGATCAGTGCTGCGAACACCTGGTGCAGCAAGTATAGACCGGAAGCAATGAAACTCCGCATCACCACTGGATTCCACAGTCCAGGGAAATTCCGTGTCCTAGGACCACTTTCAAATATGGAAGAATTCTCGAGAGATTTCAGTTGTCCTCTTGGCTCAAAGATGAACCCTCAGAAGAAATGTGCGGTCTGGTAAATCAGACCTTGATGAATGGTTAGACGACTACAAAAGTTCTAGTAAGCGGCTACCATTTTGTGAAACATATTCTTCGATATCATGAAGGATATTAATGGTTCGGTAGATCTTCAACGGTTCCACCGAAAACCCTAATTCTGTCTGATCGAAACTATTTTGGATGAGATTCACGTGAATTTTGAACGCATCGTCCAGAATCCTGTTTGCATCTGTTCGAAGAGGATGACTAACAGTGACGGTGGTTGTTCGTGAAACTGATGGAATTCAATTTTTAAAAGCATGGTCGTGCTATCACCGGGAGGAATTGTTGTCTTCGTGAAACGAGTATTGAATTGCACGGTTGCGCTACCATAAACGGTTCATCCATTGTAACATTGTTTGATAATACATAAGCCTTTTTATAAGAGAAAGTTACATGTTCGATGAGTATTGTACATAGGATTAAACGAACGAATGAACGTATCGGGGATAATGCGTCATGACAATTTCAAATTTTATAGAATTACGTTGGGAAGAAATCAGATATTAACCTGTTGTCGTTGGGTTCGAGGTCGTTAAAGAGAAGTGTGCACGTTGAACTGTGATGATTTTATAGGAATCGACAATAAATATTGACACGATCTTTTAGTTAAGCCGTTAAAAGTGACGCTCGCAAGGAACACCAGAATATTATTCTTAATTATATTTTTAAATGATATTGTTCTATCGACATACAAGTCAATACATGTGCTTTTTGCTATCTGTATAATGTTCGTTAGGCTCCGTTGAGCAGTGTAAGGTTGTTGATTAGAGTTACCATTTTTAAGTACTTAGGCGACATAGTATTATTCGTAGTTTCTAATAATAATTACTCTACAGGCAACGGAAAAAAAAGAAACCGCCTGTGATTACTTTTGTACCATTTTTTGCTTTTTGCGTCTATGTATCACATAAGAGTTTATCTGAGAATCGTAATTTCTTTGTTCCCAATTTTTGCAGTGAGGATTGTACCGCGTTTAATGTAGAACCGCGATACTCTTATTTATTGCATTACTGTATTATTTTAAGGTTAAATAGATGATTGTATCTAGTGTATTTGTTGAGTATAAAGTTTTAATATAAAAAGATTGAAGAAATGTTTTGCCTCAAATTTCTGTTGTAAATCTGATCGGTTCTATAATGATAAATGCAGATTTTGTAATAAAAATGTTTCTCAATAAAAAACATGTTGACTTCAAAGTATTATAAAGAAAAACATAAACACTTTCTTGTTTAAAATTTAATGAACCTTCAACCCATTGTATTTATTCAAAATGTAATTTTCTTTGATCGGTTAATGGAGCCATAAATTTGAAGGAAACAGAAACGAAATATAAAGACATAAATATAGAACAATTAATCAGATTATATTATTTATCTTTTTAACTGTTTTTAAAATTAATTATTAATATATTTAATTGAAAGTACAAATGGAAAAAATATGATCTTGATAAAATTTTTAAATCATCTACTGTCTTTATTACAAATCCTCCAAATTGAATAGAACTTTGTCAACATGTTAGTACATCACAAAATCATATTAATAATAATTTATATTTTTTGCAATAATTTCTTTTGAAATTTGTCATACAGTTTATTAATGTGATTTAATTAATAAATACAGAAACTTATAGCATATGTTTTATTTTCAATCAAAAGAATACTAACAATATAAACTGTTTTAATAGACACATTGTCAATTTTTCTAGTAGCAAATTGTATCATTGTATCATTTTTGAATTAAAACCAATAAGAAATTGTAACACCAGAAGCAAAAGGGCTATTCAAAGAGTAGATTAAGTTTGATAAAAAAAACTATATTAATACTATCAATATTCAACTGCATACCATACATTTCCTTTATAAAGCATTAAAAGTTGAAATTGAATACCTCATTATCTGGCTTCTGGTGTTACAATTAAAAAATAGTTAAATAAACTTTCCTACACATGCCAGGGAATGAAATTACACTTTTATTTAATAATTTCAATTATTTTGCGTTTGTGGCTTGGACCAATCTACATTCAAAATAAGATGGTCATAACCATAACCATTGAGCGTAGCAATGGCTTTTGCAGCTTCCATTCTGTATTTGAAGTGAACGTAAGCAAATCCTTTACAAAGATTGGTTTGTTTGTCCTTGGGAAGATAAAATTTGAGAACTGATCCAAATGGTTTAACGAGCTCATCCAAATCTGCATCTGTAGTACTTTCTGACAAGTTGGATATACGAATGGTAGTAACATCATCGCGTCTTTGCATTTGCATAGAATCTCCCCTTTTGTTACCGCCATCACGCATACTGGGTGGAACATATTTGCTACCTTGGGGCTTTGATTCAGCTGTTGCACCAGGAGCACCAGCATTAATGAGTGGTTTCTTATCATCTGGTACTTTTCCTAAAAATTAAATTTCAAAATAAAAGAATTTTGTAAATTTTTAATATCGAAGCTCATAATAGTGAATAGCTTCATAATACCTCCAGCAAGAACTGTATCTTTGTAAGGACACTTTGAGGTCCAATGGTCTCCATTGCAGTTACGACATTTGACTACACCTTTATCACCCATATTCTTCAATTTATCAAGATTATCTTCTTCAACCTTATTTTCTTCTTCCTTGCTAGAAATGAACTGCATAAATACATCTTCACCGCCGACTGTAGTTGCAGGATTAGGTCCAGGCCTATCATCTACGGAATCTCCAAATTTAGCCCAATTTTTGCGTACAGCAATTGTTTTTGATACTATACGTCTTTCAATCTTATATGTGCGAACAACTTTGACTTTCTTATTATCTGAATTGTATTTATATTCAGTAAGAATTTTGAATCCATTTTCATAAGTTTCTGATGGTGGAGGCAATACTCCTCCTCCTCCCTCCTCTTCTACTTCATCAGCCCAACTAGATTTCACATCTGCTACTGGCATCTTTGAAACCTATGAAACTAATACCAAAGAAAATTATTATTCGTAATATTTAAAAAGATTATCAGGCTATTAACCATATAAAGTTTACTTTCATGCGTAAAAACGGATTAAATGCGTTAAATATGTGACAAAAGTGACACAATAATTTACAGGTTAAGTATCAATAAATTATTAAGTATGTTTGGAACAAAATTATTAATACTTCTTATAGGATACATATAAAATTCTGCAATTCTACAAACAAAGATGTTGATAAAATTAAACACCACCAACAAAAGAAATTCAGAATATTACTTTGTATACAACGACACATTACAACTAAACACATTTATACGACGAAAACGTAAAAGAGATTTAAAAACAGAGAAAATAATATTTGATTGAAATTATGTTACTGTGAATATTTAGAAATTAAAGGAATCACGAAGAAAATTGAAACTAACACAAAACGCTCCAAGAAATTGACAGGAAAGCAGGACTTCTTCAGCGAGAACGAAATCAGTCGAAATGGAGGAATTTCCGCATGTGATAACTCGGCGTGTCGCAGCCCTGGCGGCAATTCTATAAAACATGAATGCTCCGAAATTAATGGCGACGTCTAGCGTTGTCGTGTTCACTGTAAAAAAATAATGTTTCCCAGAGCCGAGTTTCGATCGTATACAAAAAGGTGTTAACGTAGCTAAAAAAGAACGTAATCCAATTCATCGCAAAAGCAAAACAGTAATCGTGATAATGGACCAGGCACCTGCAGGTAAGAAACGAATGTTGTGATTTGGCGATTCGGTCAAACGCGGTCTGCACATTCCCTCTCCAAACGAGCATATTAACAATCCACCTTCCTTATTAATCGTTATGTTTGAGTTCTACTATTTTAGCATTTTAGTTAATCAGAATTCAAGATTTGTGAATTTGGGCACAACGCAAGTAATGAAAGATTTGAAAAAGAAAAAAATCTAGATTTTAGACAGTAGGTTATGTAAACCTGTGCAGCACATTAGGTTACCATTATAAAATTATTCGATCAATGAATTAAACTGTCCACAGACAGATCTTCATAGATACGCTCGTAAAGTGACAACTTTCAAAACAGATTCAATATTTCAGGTTACGATGGGCTGATTTAGGACTGCGTACTTTAAAAAATAAGAGATCCTATTTCAGTACTGTATTTAAATGTTGCCATTCGTATTGTAATAATTGTATAAGTAACTCAGGAGCGCGAACGACAGTCATACTAATTCTGTTGATTTTGGTATAATACCCAGATACAGAGTTACGGAACATCATAGACAAACTGGCACAGTTTGTGGCCCGCAATGGACCCGAGTTCGAGCAGATGACGAAAAACAAGCAGAAGGACAACCCAAAGTTTGGTTTCCTGTTTGGTGGAGAGCACTTCAACTACTATCAATACAAAGTGACTACAGAGCAAGCCAGTAAGTGGGATACAGCCCCTTAACAGCTACAACAATTGAGAAGCATAATGGCCATGCTTTATTCAACGAAACAAGGAATGACTTTGAAAAAGAGATACGGGTGAAAGGGTCTGAATTCGTCATAGCGAATGTACAAAACTATTATTCATCGAATATCAGCACTTCATTTCAAGATTTTGGGATTGCTATTTATTAA